ACAAGGTACCCTACCGCGTCGTCGACACGAGGAGCACTGTAAATGGTAAAGGCACAAACATCAAGACCGAGGAGGCAACCGTGGCTTCGCGTGTGTATACCTGTGTGTAGAGCCGCGTGTGCACGGATAGGCCGAAAGTGGTCATGGGAAAGGTATCGGTGCGTTAAGGCCAAGACTGGATTCCGCGGGGCGAGGCCGGCTCGTTGGCGGGTAGGAGTGTACAAGGTCTTCGATACCTCGTAAATTACCACTCCGGCCCTCTCTCTCTCTCTGCCATCCACCTCGACTAACGTTAAAACTGCCTACGTTTTCGTCCTGTCGGAGGAAACACCGGAGTCCACCTCTCCCGGCCTGGTCCACCGCGTTGCAGAGGAGGAACACAGGCGACGCGTTTCGACATTCTATTTTACACTTTTTTCGGTGGAGCTTGTTTCGGCAAATGAGCCCAGGACCTCTTGCCCCCTTCTTCCTCTCTCCCCAACCGTTCATTCTCAAGGCTTCGTAGGTAACATCTCGGCGACGAAATCGATCGGAGATCGAAAGCGAAAGCTCATTAAGCCGCGCGCCATTCCGACTCTCCATTCCTCTATATTCCTTCCCTCCGCCCCTCCCCGGGTATTCCTTTTGGTTCGTAAATTTTTCAAAGAGCCGAGCGGAACGTTGTTACGGGGGAAATACGAAACGCCTGGTCGCCAAGTTGGCCGAAACGAACTCGGCCGATCCTTAACTCGGATCCACTGATTTCGATCTCCGAGATCGGGGGAGGGGGATATAGGATAAACTCGAGCCTAGATACCCCGGATTCCTCTCTCCGGTGAATATTCCGCGCTCACAAGATCGGGACGATGCGGGGAGAACTTTTGCCGAGTAATCGTTACATTTTTCCCTCCGATATCTGTCTGTCGATCGACGATTTATCTTTCGAGAGGTTAAGATTCGATCGGTCGACGAGTCTTTAAAAGTCACCGCTTGGCGAGGGCTCGATTCAACTTTGCCGATTGATAGCGAGAGGCGTGAAGAGGAGTGCTTCGTAGTGCTGACGTGGCCGCGTCGCGCTTGGCAAAGTTCGAGAAAAATGGAAAAGAGAATGTTCTACGAAGAGAAAGAAAGAGAGAGAGAGAGAAAGCAACGGCGGAGATATCGATGGAGGCGTTCATGAATGAAACCGTGTTTCCTGTAACCCTTCCCATAAGGATGTCGAGAGGCGAGAGATCGAGGCGAGAGGGTGTTTGCGAAGTCAAGTTTACGACAATATAATTTTGGTAGCGACACGCGGACGGTGTGGAATGCGACGATCGGAGTCAACGAACGGTATAGAAGACTTCGATACGTCGTAAATGGCCCATCCCCGGGGCCCGTTCGCGAAAGAGGCCGTATCCACCTCTCCATCTCGTGCATGCTACGCGCATAATATCGAACTGCCTACGTTTTCGCCCTACCAATCGCGAGGACTGACCGACACCGAACACCGAAAACAGCGACGAGGCCCGATCGAGTCGACGCTCGCAAACAAAGCTCGATAACTCTCCATTATACGACCGATCCGAGGCCGATCGAACCGTGCATTGTCGCGACACCGACGATCATCCATGTGCATTCCTGAATTTTACTATCAAATGTTACCACGGGCGTCGAGACGGAGAGAGAAAAAAAAAAAAAAAAAAAAAA